GCATAACGTGTACAATGTGTAGTATCGTAAAATACCAGCAAACGAAAAAGAATTAAAATGAAAACACAAAATTAAATGAAAAAGAAATCATAAAACTAAAAAAAACCCAAACCTTATAGTACCGGTTGGTCTTACCAACCGGTACTAAAGAGCTCCAGGCCCCTGAAGCTGGCTCGTGCCACGTGGTTTCCCTTTAACACCGGTTCGTGCTGAACCGGTAAAGGGGGGGCTTTAATGCCCACACTTTAGTGCCGGTTATGGAACCGGCACTAAAGGGCCTTACGAACCGGTGCTATTGCCCGGTTCTGCACTAGTGATATTATAGGACAGAGGGAGTAGTTCACTAACATACCGAACTATATCCCAGGAAGAAACTAGGTTTAAGAAGGAACATACCGTATTTGCATCCGAAACGACTGTTGCTTCGTCGATTGGCCCTAAAACATTTTTACATACACTAATGTGTGATTTGTGCGCTTTATTATGATTGTTCAATGCCACTCTTCCACGTATCGCGCTTCGTATCCATTCGTTTGTCCTAGATCGAACGGCTTCAATGGGGGTAGGCAGATAGCCATTGAGCCGATGTGAAGGCAGCTTGGGTTCTATACTTCCATAACGATTACTACCTCCGTTCTTTAAAAAGTATATTTTTGATCTTCAAAAAAAGGTGTACTTTTAATTTTATTAGAGGGTCAAATTATTTTAAAGTTTGACCGAGTTTGTGGAAAAATATATCAATATTTATGAAACCAAATAGGTATATGATGAAAATACATTTTATCATGAATCTAATCCTACTAATTTGATGGCATAAAGTTGATGCACTATTATATAAATAAGGTCAAACATAAAAAAGTTTGACTTTCCAACAATGTTGGAAGTAGCGAATCAACCTGTGGTTGAGTTGGTTAGGTGGACAGTGGTATCCCCAACCCACCAGGGTTCAAATCCTGGTGCTCGCATTATTTCTGGATTTATTTCAGTATTTCCGGCGATGCGCTTTCAGTGGGAGGAGACGTTCCCGTCGATGACGAGGCGCCTACGGTGACTTCGTAAATCTCAAGATGATATTCTCAGAGTATTATGACATAGGTTGCAAAAACGTCTTATATATGGGATGAAGGAAGCAACACATGAGTCACAAAAGGAATATTTTTGGACCCACAAAAGCATCTACTTTCTCCACCAAACTTCGGCAGATCAGATCTCCCAGTCCACACAAGTCCTCCCAAATTTGCAGATCAGATCTCCCAGTCCACACAAGTCCTCCCAAATCCAAATCCTCCCCAAGCCAGCCTGGTTGCTGAGACGATCCAAGAAATCTTTAGTCTGCCCCCGTGATTAAACCAAGGATCGTTTGCGGTCCGGCGGCCCCCGTCGCCTCGCTGCACCAGCTACTCGTCTCCGGGGAAGGTGCCGGCCGCGGCGTACGTGCGTGCTATACAGGGTTCACATCCCTTGCTAGCTCGAAGCCATCCTCCGCGACGGAAGCCGTACCGACCGCGGCCGGTAGGTGCGTACGACCCTTTAATTTCTTCTGTGCCTTAATTAGTGCCTCGTTGAGTTGTAGCACGTTGAACTTGACAGGCGATAATTTGTGGGCGTAATTACATCGATTCATCTTTCTCTATCAGTGTGTGTTCGTCCTACACTGCTCCATCGACAAAAAATTTAACTGGCCGAGCTCTCTGCAGTGCCATTTGAGTCAGATCTGGCGAGGGGGTCGGGTTGTAGAACGTAGCTTGTCGTATGCAACGTCACCTGGGCTTTTGCTTCAATCATCAATCCTTTTTCTTTTCAGGATTTACAACGACAACTCGACCTACGTACACTCCTGTCCACCCAAAAATTAATTCAGCGGGCTGCAAATTCTCATAACCATGGAGGCTGCTCTGGTGAGTGCAGCTACCGGGGCATTGAAACCTGTCCTGGGGAAGCTGGTCACTCTTCTCGGTGACAAGTACAAGCGTTTCAATAGGGTGCGCAAGGATATCAAGTCCCTCACCGACGAACTCAGGACCATGCATAATTTTCTCCTCAAGATGTCGGAAGTGGAGGATCTTGATTGGCAGGATAAGGTGTGGATGAATGAGGTGCGGGAGCTTTCCTATGACATGGAGGACGCCATCGACGACTTCATGTTGTGTGTCGATGATAAAGACACTAAGCCAGATGGCATCTTGGAGATCATCAAGAGCTCGCTTGGGAAGATGAAGGCTCGCCGTCGGATTGGTAGCGAGATCCAAGATTTGAAGAAACAAATCATCGAGGTGGGCGACAGGAATGCAAGGTACAAGGCTCGTGAGGCTTTCTCCAAGGCTAGTAATGCAACTGTTGACCACAGAGCTCTTGCGATCTTTGAGCATAAATCAAAGCTTGTTGGAATTGACGAACCAAAGGCTGAGATAATCCAAATCTTGACACAAGAGGATGGATGTGTGTCAACACAAATGCAGTTAAAGGTGGTTTCCATAGTTGGATCAGGAGGGATGGGCAAGACAACTCTTGCAAACCAAGTGTATCTAGAGCTCAAAGAGAAATTCGAGTGTCAGGCTTTCTGTTCAGTCTCACAACACCCAGACATGATAAAAGTCCTGAGAACTATTCTCAGTGAGGTGGCTAAGAAAGATTATGCCATCACAGAAGCTATGGATGCTCAACAACTGATCTTCAAGATCTCCAGATTTCTAGAGAACAAAAGGTATTATCTTAGTCTACTCATGTTTTCTCGCACTCCTTAGATGTGTACAAAAGAAAAACTCAATTTTTCATCCTTGCGATATTGCACTCCCTCTCTTTAATCATTTTTTTTGGGGGGTCTTTCCTAAAAGTTTTGGACCTCACTTCCCCCTAAGCCATCATATCCGCTCCCAGACATTTTTCTGATAGGACAAAATTGTTCCAACAAAGTTCTAAAAACATTGAAATAAATATTCATGCATATGGGTCAGGGGTATATGTACATATAAATTTTGGTTGCATAATATGACAATTTAGTATTTATCAAACATAAAAGTAAATATGTTACTTTTTGTGCATATGCAAATGGTCATATATACATGAACCAAAAAATTAAATGTATGTACTTCACACTACAACCTATATGCATTTGTTTTTCAGATTTTCTTTTAGTAACATAGGGACAATTATCTCCTTCAAGAAACCACTCAGGGTACAAGCGTTGTTGTCATTGCCTCGAGTGACGCCACCGCGGCCTATTTGCAGCCTAAGTAGGTTAGCATCACTAGTCCATGGCTTCTGCATGTCCACCCTGGACCCTTGGTGTCCCCAGTTGTCTACAGCCACAAGCGGTGCCGCCATTGTCAAAGACACGACCATGGACAGAATCCTCGACAGGCACCGTCATGGTCTACGCTGACAAAGACACTGATGGTGGTGTCTCCAACAAGTTCTGCCCCGAAAACACAACTATGCTATAATCGCTTGGTGCACTTCAAGTCCACATGTCGATATAATATCATCCACTAATGAACGGCTGGCTGGCTGCCGATGTGAAGTTGTGAACCCTAGTTTTATGACTAATCTAGTATTCACGCGCAAAGGAAATGTTGAAAAACTTCTTTTCCCACATACGAATTTAATATCACATACAAAATAATCATATAAAATAACTCCGGAGAATATGCCAATGTACAATACAACAGTTTTGTGGTCAAAATATATTTTCATCATACTAAATTGTTGTTGTTATCTCCCTTTTATATATATTAATGTATTTTTCACTCCAGCTGTTGCACCATAACTATCATCAAATCACATTCACCCGACCAATGAAGAGGGATTCCAAAAGTGTTAATGAGAAGTGACCAGGCATATTTTTATTAATTGACAAACTATAACCACTACCATGTTTCAAAGTAAGGTAGAAGTTGAAAACGTAGCAATGATGGCACTATTGATTTCCCGAGGGAAAAATGTCAGAAAACAATGATGTCTTAGACATAGACAAATCATTCAAAATGTAACTTTGAGGTTTTTATGAATATGTTAGTAAAACATTAAAAAATACAAAATTATGAAGTGTCTTACTTGATAATTCTAATAAAGTTACCTTAATTTGACCAATATCAGTAATATTTATATACAGATAGTCAAAATTAGAAAAGTATGGCAACTAGTTTTGTACCTAGAAGGGTAGGTCACCATCTATTTGGAACAGGGAGTTGGCATGAATTTAGTATGATGTATTTGATAACATAAACTTCTTTTTAGCTATCTTATTTGGAACTTCTTTTATATGTTGTCAATGAGAAGTAGGTTTCTGATAATAATAAAGTCCACGCTAATATCACTCATGATATCTGTGTGCAGCTATTTTATCGTTGTCGATGATATATGGAAGAATGATTCATGGGATGTCATCAAGTGCGCATTCCCCGTAACCAGTTGTGGCATAATAATCACCACTACTCGTAGAAAGGATGTCGCTTGTTCATGTCGTTCATCATTCAATGGTCATATTTATAACATAAGACCTCTTGATATGATGCATTCGAGACAGTTATTTCTCATGCGACTATTCAACTATAGAAATGGCTTCCCTTCACACCTTGAAGAGGTTTCTAGTCAAATCTTGGAAAAATGTGGTGGCTTACCTTTAGCGATCATTGCTATATCTAGTTTGTTGGCAAATAGAGGAAGTACAAAGGATCAGTGGGATGAAGTGGAAAATTCGATTGGTTGTGCACTGGAAAGAAATGATACTGTTGATAGAATGATGAAGATTATGTCACTTAGTTACTTTGATCTTCCTCCTGATCTCAAGACTTGTTTATTGTATCTGAGTATATTTCCAGTGGGCTATGTTATTGACAAGCAAGATCTCATACGAAGATGGACTGCTGAAGGATTCATTCATAAAAACTCCAGATATACGGTACATGAGGTAGGTGATATGTATTTTAATGAGCTCGTGGATAGGAGTTTAATCCAACCCGTGAAGACTGAAGAGCATGGTAAGGTGAACGGTTGTCGAGTTCACAACACAATTCTTGATTTCATCATCTCCAAGTCCATCGAAGAGAACTTTGTTACTTTAGTTGGTGTTCCAAATCTTAAAATTGATACAGAAAGCAAAGTTCGCCGGCTCTCTCTCCATGTTGAAGATGCAGAAAATTCTACCAATCGGCTCTCTCTCCATGTTGATGATAAAAGGAATTCTATTCCACTGACGAGCCTAGAGTTGTCTAATGTCCGATCACTCACTGTGTTTGGGCAATCATGGGAAATCCCTTCAGCGGTGGAGTTTCGTCATTTGCGCGTTTTTGGCTATGGATCGGGTTGCCGCCATATGAAAAACCATCATCTTGCAAATATGGGGAGCTTCTTTCAACTGAGGTACCTGAACCTGAGTTGGACAGGAATAAGCGAGCTTCCAGATCAAATCAGACAAGCACGGTGCCTAGAGTTGTTGGACCTAAGAGGCACCAGGATATTTGAATTACCAGCAACTATTATTAATCTCAGAAAATTGGTTCATCTATTTATCGACACTGGTGTTAAATTTCCTGATGGAATTGAGAAGATGCAGGCACTGGAAACGTTGAAACAGGTCGGAATCCTCAAACAACCATTTAACTTCCCGCAAGAACTTGCCAAGCTACGGAATTTAAGGAAGTTATCCCTTCACTTTCATGGCGATTCTGCTACTGAGGCTAAGAATGAGTTCAAGAATGTTATTGCTTCTTGTCTTCATAAGCTAGGAAACCTACGTTCTCTTACTGTTTGGAGTGGGGGAAGCTTCTTACAGGGACCTTTGTGCCCTGTTCCTCTCAGCCTCAAGAAACTTGTGGCTTGGAATTCAACCATCTGTCGGGGCCCGGCTAGGGTGGGCTCTCTCGTCAACCTACAACGGTTACACCTTGAAGTGGAGGGAGTCAGTAAGGGAGATCTCTGCATCCTTGGAAGCTTACCTGCTCTACTTGTTTTGGATCTGATGGTAAGAGAAAATCGTAATCATAGAAGTCTCAAGGTCGATGGTGGAATTGGGTTCCGAAGCTTGAGGCAGTTTTATTATGATATCAGGGATGAAGCGATGAATCTGATATTTGCAGCAGGATCCATGCCAGAGCTAGAAACGCTCGAGATTTCTTTTGACGCGGATCAAACCGAGTCTCTGAATACTAGTGGTGGTTTTGACTTTGGAATCGAAAACCTTCCTTGCCTCATTGCTCTCAGATGTAGAGTATATCGCTGGCAGGATAGAACATTTCAGGCTGCAAAGGCTGCCATGGAGAGAGTGGCCAGCACACATCCCAACCATCCTAGTATAATCGTTGAACCAGGGACGGAGCTGGTATACGACCAGTGGTGCCAAATGAACCCAATGAATTTTTCCAGTCTTCTCGAGAGTTTTCTAGTTGACTGACCCAATGAGGTAATGCTACCAGTGGTGTTTTCTTCTAGCTTTGTCCCTGCTTTGAAGTAATCACTAGTAAAAAAAGGGCCTATTGTCCCGGTTGATAAGGGCCTTAGTCCCGGTTGGTGAACCGGGACTAAAGGGTCGGTACTAATGCCTCACCCCTTTAGTCCCGGTTCAATCCAGAACCGGGACTAAAGGCCGTGGCCACATGGAGCCTTTAACAATCCACCTTTAGTCCCGGTTGGTGTTACCAACCGGGACTAATGGAAATTTTATGATTTTTTTTGGGAAATTTTTTTTGAATTTTTTTTTATTTTCAAATTTCTGAATTTTTTTAACCCCTAATCTCTAATCAACACCCCTCATCACTGCTCAATTTATCCTCTTCTCTAATCACCCTCATCATTCCAAATCACCTAACTTCCCGAACGGTCACCCATCCTCCCACTCACCCAACCTGAGCACGCTTAACTTTCGGGTTCTATTCTCCCTCGTTTCCAAGTCTGCACTTGTTGTTTTCCTGACAATAGTAAGATGTCAATCCTATTAACCCTCAGGAATTTTGCTTGAGCATGAATTGACACATTTCACTGTTTGAGTTTCAAACTATTGTTTTCAAAAACAATAATTATTTAGAAAACAATAGTTATTTTGAATAATTAGTTTGACCATGGTTTGACCATAGTTTGACCATAGTTTGACCAGATTTGACCAAAATTCAAAATAACTGAACAAATTATTTAGTAACACTAATATTCTAGAATAATTAGTTTGACCATGGTTTGACCATTGTTTGACCACAGTTTGAAATTTTTTCGATTCTTTCCACTCTAGATATTAAAAGCCCCGTAACTTTTTTTCTGTTAGGTTTTTTGAGGATTTTGAAAATGTTTAACGGGGTTCCCCCAGTTAAATTTGGATGTAACTTTTCGAGTAGATGATTTTTCATATAAAAAACTTTTTCATCCGAGTTAGTATGCAAAAGTTATGCCCATATTTACAAATTCCAAAGAGATTTTGCAAACAAAGTCGAAATTCACATTTGCAAATTTTTCCAACAACTAGACCACATATCACATGGGAAACTTATTTTCTTTTATTTTTTTGACATTTCCATCATTTTCTTTTATTTTTTTTTAAATTGAAAAGGCGATCCTGGGGGGGTAGAGTTTGAAAATGGGGCCTTTAGTACCGGTTCGTGACACGAACCGGGACTAAAGGTCTCAACCCCATTAGTCCCGGTTCGTGCCCAAACCGGGACTAAAGGTCTATTCTTTAGTCCCGGTTTGAGGCATGAACCGGGACTAATGGGCATCGCACCCTTTAGTCCCGGTTTGAGGCACAAACCGGGACTAAAGGGCACAGGTGAACCGGGACTAATGCCTTAGCTGCACGAACCGGGATAAATGTTCACATTAGTCCCGGTTCTGGATTGAATCGGGACTAATGGGCTAAACTGGCCTGGACGAAAGCCCTGTTTTCTACTAGTGAATCAAGCAACTATATATGATGCATGGAGGGTATAAGTTACCACCATACAAGATTACGTTAAGAGTTCCCAATATTTGTATCTACCTTTCTTTGCCTGATATGTTCAGGACTTCAGGTTGCCTGTCTTTTCAGGCTGGGTCACGGTTCAATGCAGCTTCAAGAATCATCACTGTATTTCTGGGTTCTGTTCACCATTTTCCGCGATGAATGTGTCCAAGTTCTTGTGGATGTACGGTGCCTCTCTACATGTTTGTTTGCATGAGGGATGCCAGATGCAGGTACTTATCTACTCGATTATTTTTACTATTTTTTACTCTCCATAACATCCCTAGCTAGTCAGATAACTGCCGCTGCAGACAGTATATTTGAGGCATTTAAATTAGCCAATCTGCAGGGAAAATAATATCCTCTCTGTAGTCATTTAAATTGGCCAATGCCATTGCTTTTTTGCACGGAGGGCTTTCGATTTGGTAATAATGACACCAAGATGGCACTAGCTGGCCCATTAATTGCAGTACTGTGTAGAGCATTGTGGGGTTTGATATGCATTAGTTCAATCTGCAGCAAGACTCAGTTATGTATGTTGAAGTTTTCTTTGTATCGACAATTTGGTGGCCATTCATCTTATTTATTACTCCCTCTGTCCCACAATATAAGACGTTTAGCTTGCAAAGATGTCTTATATTATGGGACGGAGCGGGTACTACATACTGTACAGTGTATGATTAAATTATTATCATTTCCTTTTCCTTTAGCTAGTCATTCTTGGTTCTTGCCACGTTATGGTTACTGAACTAAGCAACTCACAGTCTCTTTTCATTTTCAGAACAATTTGGATGATGTCATACTTATAGTTTAATGTTATGTTTGCCATCAATGTCAAGTTTTTTTTTAGAACGAAGACGCTAGAAGCGTCTGGCTTTAAATTAATAAAGCCCTTAGGCACCAGGTTGAACAAGTTACATCTTAGCTAAAGCAAAAGGAAACGTTCGGTCCACGACCGCCAGGTTCATCACGAAGGCAACATGACAACCAACCATAACATCCAACGCTGAAGACCTAGCTAACATAGAACTCCCTCTAAAAGACTCCAAAAGCTTCAACGACTCGACGGATCTTGTCTTGCCATCACCTGGATAGTCTTGATGCGCGTAATGGCCTTCGACATGCGCTCAGCATCGCTCTCCTTCCCCAGCGGAGTCCACGTCTATAAAAAAAGATGGCATTTGAAGATCACGTCCGCGGGATGGTTAGGGAATTTTTTTCTCAATCGTAATTTTATTGCGCGTCGTCCAAATAGCCCAAAGCAGCGCCCCTACGCAACGCCAAGCGATTCTACTACTAGTCCCTTTCATGGATTTGAGGATGGAAATCAAGTCATTCCTCGAGGCTGGGTTCCAGTTCGTGTGGAAAGCTTCCCTAACTGCACTCCACGCGAACCTGGCCAGGTGACATCTAAAAAAGACGTGGTTTGCATCTTCACCAAGGCCGCACACAGTGCAAGTATCATCAGCCGGACCGTTACGCTTGGCCACGTTATCCGAAGTGGGCAGCCTATTCCTGAACATTTGCCACATGAAGATTTTAATCTTCAAGGACAGGCCTGCCTTCCACAACCCCTAGCTATATCAAGCGTTGTCCCTTCAGTTAGCTTGTTGTAGAGGGACTTAACTGAGATTTTCCTGGAAGCTGTCAAGCTCCACTCTACCGAATCATCGCCCGTCCCTAGATGGTTGGCACCAATTTGCTGTACCAGACCGGCCCATGACTCTCGTTCGGCGTTGGTAAGGGCCCGCATAAAGTGGATCGCACGAGGGTCAGTACGAACTGCCTCCCCCACTAAGATATTGATGTTAGTGGCAATCCGGAATAAGTTGGGGTAGCTTTGCCAAAGGGGAGAGGCGCCCAGCCAATGATCAAGCCAAAACCGAGTGGATTGACCTTTGTTAATCTGAAATTTGGCCCCAATAGCAAAAGCGGGCCGGACCGCTTGGATCCCTTTCCAAAACACGGAGCCGTTGGCCGAGGCCATCACTGCCAAGTTTTGATGGTACCATTATTTGCAGTGCTATTCAATCCCCATATGCTTGAATGGAAAGTTCTCTATTATTCTTTCACTGTCGTGGCTGATGTTCGAGAGACACACTCATTTTGTGAAAAAGAGTAGAGAAAACTCGTAGCATGCGTATCTGTTAGTCGGAAAAGCGATGACCACGGCCCACTAGTGTCAAATATGATTTCAGCTTAATTCAACCTACCAATGTTACGCATTAGACTATGCGCAAAATCAAAACTATCAATACATGCACCCATGGTGTTTGGACAAAAGGAAAATAACATTAGCATCACTATATCGCTGGGACTCCATATCCTCCAGGCCTGTTTATTCTAGAATCCATAGATCATAAGATGCTCCTAGCTTTTGTGGTTAGCCAGGAGGGACTCGATTGCTGAATTCTTGGTCGGAACATCTTTATACCGGATTCGGAACCCATGGCCTGCAGAAAGCAACCGAACTGAAGATCTTTAACGAGATGTCTTATCCCGAAATAAAACTGAACTGTGGTGGTTGATGTTCTAGATGCAATTTTTGAATATCTTTCACATACCAGGTAAAAACCACTTGAAATCGGACAAGGAGGCCGAGTATTGTTAAACCTTGTTGGGAAGGGCCAATTCATCAAAAAACATTATTTTAGCAAGGAAAAAAACACGGTTACTATTCATACTAAGCTTAAATCACCGATGTTAGGGGACCAGGCACCCTGTCTCCGCCAATGGTCATCCGCGCAGAGATGGATCCAACGTTGGATTGAGAGCGTACCCAAGCATATTGTCAACAACGTCCTGCACTGGAGCAGCGGCGCACATCGATCTTAGAGCATCTCGAGCATACTCCATATAAGTTTCTCAGCCTGTAAAATTCCAGCCGATTTACAAGATCCGAGAAAAAACCCGGCCCGGTCAGATACCATAAAAAAGGCCCCGCCCGTAAAAACCCGGACGTATCCGCTATATTTACCGGAACCCGGGCGTTTTAGGATTTGCATCCGGCAAATTCTCTTTCCTCCTCCGCCGCAATTTTACACTCTCCGGCGTCATTTCCATCTTGGAGGTGGGGAGATGAATCGGAGTGGTGTGACATTTTAATAGGGAGACTAGCGCCCTTGGGTAGTGTGCCCGACAAATCACAGGCCCTGCATGAGGATCAACTCCTTCCAGAGGATCGCGTACGAGCGATTCAAGAGGAAATATCGGGATTTTTGGTCGACCAGGTCATAGATCCCAAAGAAAAATTTCATTACAAGCTGTCTGCATGAATGTAATGGTCCGCAAATTGTAGGAGAAATTATATGTACCAAATTGTGTGTGTGTGTACGAGAAATTCGATGATATATATGATCTTTTCTACGAGAAATACTATATATATATATGCATAATCGCCCCATCATTTGCTTTTGTGCTTTGAGGGGATCCCATGGAATGAGCCTCCTGCTCTTCCACAGGCGCATCAG